ACCGCACCTACGAAAATTATCTCACAGGTGCGAACTCGCAGAAGCGAGCCTGGGTGCGCAGAAGCGAAGGCATTTGCGAAAGCGAAAGCTTCACCGCAAAAGCAGAACCGCGGATGCGGTTAAAAATTTCGCAAAAGCGGAACCTCTAGGCAGTGTACAAAAATAGAGGGGTCCGCGATTTTCTCATTTTTGGACATTTTCAACACGGGATTGAGGCAATTTTTCTGAGAGAATTCACGGGAACACTTGACGTAAGTCACTTGTGATCATTGTTAGTCAATAATATTGGATTATCATAGAGTATTTCCACTAGATTACGTGCTTTTGAGGTGAAATCACAGGATTTGGGGCTAGGGATTTAAAAATAAGATTTGAGGATTTGAAGGTTGAGTTGATGTCAGAATTTAGTAAATTTGGTATGGTTGGACTCGTGGTTTAATGGGCGTTCATATTTTGTAACTTTTGTCAGGTTCCGAGACGTTGGCCCCATGGACAATTTTTGAGTGCAATTTTCGGATTTTGTTGGAAAATTAGTATTTTCATATAGAATTAATTCCTATAATTTGTATTGACTGAATCGTATTAATTGTGACTAGATTCGAGGCGTTCGGAGGCCGATTCGCGAGGAAAAGGCATAGTAGAATAAAGAATTTCACGGTTTGAGTGAAGTAACCGTTCTAAATTTAGTTCTGAGGGTATGAAACCCCAAATTATGTATTATGTGATTGGTTTTGAGGTGACGCACATGCTAGATGGCGGGCGTGTGGGCGTGCACCGTAGGAATTATGACTAGGTCAATTCCATGGATATGTGTAGTTGAATAATTTGTTGTTATCCATACATCATTCCACGTATTAGAGTGATCGAACTATAAATCATGTCAAAACCATGTGTTGACACTATAGGGACCCATAGAGGTCATGTACATGTTAAATTATCTGCTAAATTATTATTTTGTATTCAGTCATAGTTTTACTTGCATATTACATCTCAGTCTTTATTGTTCATTATTGATGGATTATATCATTTCTGTTGGGGCTGATTCTCATGATTTCTGAGAGCCCGAGAGGCTGGAGAGATTTATGACTGAGTGAGGACGAGGGCCTGATCATGAGATATACTAGAACGTGAGTTGTCCGTGTGGATTCAGATATTATACTAGCACATGAGTTGTCTGTGCGGATCCAGATATTATACTAGCATGTGAGTTGTCCGTGTAGCACATGAGTTGTCCATGCGGATTATAGCCCTTGGGCTGAAGGAGCCCCTCCGGAGTCTGTATACACCCCAGTGAGCGCAGATACCTATTGAGTGCAAGTGCCGAGTATAGAGTGATTGTGAGGTTGGAGCGAAAGGGAGGACTGAGTGACTGTTGCTCTGAGATGATGCATTGATTTCATTATTTTTGTTCTTCAGCTATCATATATCACTGTTTTGGAACTTTCTGAGAGATACTATCTCCTGTTCCAGTTGAACTTGATGTGAAATTACTGTTTGGACCCTAAATTGTTGAACTTGAAAGCATGCCTACTTTCTTATGTCGGAAATTGTTGTAATTAGTCTTAGCTGTGAAGCTCGTCACTACTTTCAGTTCTTTATTTAGTATTGTTACTTACTGAGTTGGTTGTACTCATACTACATCCTGCACTTCGTGTGTAGATCCAGGTGTTCCCGCACATAGTGGGTGTTGATCTCTTCGTGCAGTTGATCTTCCAGAGATTTTGAGGTAGTTGTTGGTGTTCGCAGACCTTGTCTCTCCTTCCCTTCAGTCATTATACTGTTCTATATTTTCAGACAACGTTTTTATCAGTCAGACTTTGTTATCATTTAGATGCTCATGTACTCAGTGACACCCGGTTTTGGGAGTGTAATTGTATCAAAACAAATTGTGGGTTTTTCTGTTACATCTACGCATTATGTTTTCAAACATAAGATATTCTAGTATTTCATTGAGGTTATCGGCTTGCCTAATGTTGAGATAGGCGCCATCACGACATCTGAGTTTTGGGTGGTGACAGGAAGCATATATGCCCTTGTACCTGCAGAGTTGGAATCATTAATTGAAATTATCCTCTTTTTCCTAATTTTATCTTCTTAGCTTATCTTTTTATCTTTTCTCTTTACTGTTTTATCGGCGACTGCAACACTATTATTGGGTGAATTTGTAGATTTGGTTTTTATCTTTCTGAGAATTGTTGAGACCGGATGGTCTTTTTCTTTTCTTCTTCTTGTTTTTTTCTGTGTGTGTGTGTTTGTTTCTCAAAAGAATTTCCATTTTTGTTTAATTTCTAATAGATTGTACTTAAATAAGATTTTGGACAAAACTTTTACCCTCCTCACACTCTTATATTTTTTTTAAATACACACGTGATAGCTAAGCAAAATGGCGTGTGTTAGATATATTTTTGAAAGATTTAGGTGTGTAAAGTTATTCCCGTAATGAACAGGTGTGTAAGAGAAATTTAATTGCAAGGTTGGGTGGCATTTTATGTATTTTGCCTAAAATAATTCAATTTGTATTTAATAAGGCCACTGACAAATGGTGCAAATCAGAGTTCAGTTGAGTGAGTCAGGCGGTTAGACTAGATAAGCAATAAACGACGATATCAAAAGGCGATTAAAGTTGACAAGAAAAATAAAGAATAATCTTAATGAGATTATTCATGAGCCACAACAGTTTATAGTAAAGAGCCAGTAGAGTAGAATCTAAATGAATTACAAGTGAGGAAAGTGTGGGTATTTATAGCCTAAACCTAACGTTCATATTTCGAGTCACACTCCCACATGTTGCTCTGTGTGGTTAACAACCTGCGAGATACTCCCCGATTATGGGAAAAGTGCCAAGCGCAATGGATATGAGAGGATCCCGAATATTTCGAAGATGTAGTTCCTTTCATATAAAACTCGATGATATAAGTTTTCATGCGGTAGAGATCATACAAGTAGTAAAGATGGAGGGGAATTAGTTGTCCTACAATATCAGGTCACTGCATGGGTAAGGGATGGAAATTGGAGATATGTTAAAATATGGGTACAAGCCAGGATCTGGGCTACGATCCAGATCTAATAGGATAATCGAGCCAATTCAATTTTTTTCAACATCCAATCCAGTTGAGAAAACATAAGGGAACTACCGATTTGGGGTATCAGCCTACACTTGGAGGAGTTAGTATCAACAATCCTGGGAAGAAGATCTTTGTTCTAGAGCATGTTCTAAGCCCGGGGAAGAGTTCCAAGCCAGAAGAAGAGATCGTTGACGGAATTGAGAAGTTGTTTGTGGAAATAATTGAGGAGTGCTGCAACGAAATCGATATCAAAATACCGATCATTCGGGATGCCGAACTAGGGGAGATCTTGCAGAATTGGACTATCAGTCCATCCTTGGTTCACAGGGAGTCTTAGTAGTTTAGAGTTGTAGTTATTTTTAAAATAGCATGATCAACTAAGGATTGAATCATGCTGATGCTTTTTCAACCGCGAACGCATAGACTTTCCCTTTTAATGAAATAATACTTTTTGTCTTTCTTTGAAAAAGAAGCATTGTTCTATAAATGCAAAAAGAAGAGGCATCTTGTTGGGAAATGGATCAAGCTCCAGATGGTTAATTATAAGCCAATATGGAATAAGTTCATGGATATGAGAACTTGATTGCTGATGTTCTCAATGAGGCATGAAGATTCGTAAGATTTTTCAAGCCAATGCTCTGCTTGAGAAGTTTTCATCTTCCTTGAGTGACTATAGAAAGTAACAGAAGTACAAACTCTCTAAGAACTGATCAGTCACATAAGAATTTACGAGGCAAACCATCTCAAAGAAGAAAAGGCAAACTTCCTTAAGGATTAGATAAACTCTCTCTCTCTCACTCACTCACTCTCTCTCTCTCTCAATTCTTCTAAAGCTGGCCTTATGGGATCTGCTAGTACTTTTGTAAAAGAGAGGTTTAAAGGCAAAAAGAAGAAAGGCTAGAAAAGAGCATATAAAGAAACAAAACTTTAAAAAGTTGGAGAACCAAATAGAAGACAAAAGGACCTTGTTTCACCTGCCGGAATATTGATTACAAGGATTTATAGTGCAATCAAAGACAAGGGCAGAGGAGAAGCTCCTCTCCAAGCACACCTTGCTGAGGGTGATGATGCGATTGTTCTTGTGATCGTCGAGAAAAAAATAATGGATAACAAGACGACTGGATACTGGACACATGCTCTTCAAGGCCCCTCTGCGAACAAAGAGTTGTTCTATGACTTTGATGAATCTGCTAATTATAAGTGAGTCTACATGGGTAATTCCCCGTACCGTTGGAGGTATGAGTGCTATTTCGTGAAAGTCTTTTAAACAGATATGTGATGCACGATCTACCATGAGATCTAAATTTATTTCTTTTGAATTAGCAGGACAAGAAGCCGAGTGGCTGAGAAACCTTTTGGAAGATGTGACATTATTGGGAAGACAATATATATTCACAAGTTTCTCTATATTGTGACTCACAGACGACAATTATAATTGCAAAAAATAATGTGTACAATAGAAAAAGAGGACATATCTGCATTAGACAGGATGCAGTTTCTGAAATATGGTGTTATTTTCTTGAAATATGCTAGGTACAAAAGAAAATTAGCGGATCCTTAACGATTTGGCTAGGAGAGTGATCCTTAAAACGTCAAGGGCAATGAGTCTTAAGCCCATAGATTGAGGTAGTATGATGGATACCTGTTTGTGGTCAAACGAAGCCATATAGACCCTCAACAAAAATCTTCATAATCACTAATAGGTTCTTCCTTGGAAGTTCTATCCTGGCGGAAGAATCTTGTTCCATGAGGTAGGTCCTCACATGGCCTACTTGTAATTTTTGGAAACAAAAAAGATATTGTTGGACTTGCCTTTTTTCTTTATTCTTCCCCGGAAACAAACACAAACCATTTAATTAATGAAAACCAATGCAAAGCATTTCCACATTTGCTCCGAATACTCGGTAAATGGTGCATATGCATACATTATGATCATCATATATTGACAGGTTCAACAAGCAACAAGGTAATAACGTCTTTGCTTTTGGAAGTCGAATCTGTGTATCCATCTTCTTCATCTTGGAAATGAGTATCCATTGAATGTGCAAGATTTAAAACTCGTTCGAGAACAAATGTTGGTACTTCAGTGGGGCGGAGTAATGCTTTATTTATGTCTTTCCACGAATTCTTGACTTCCTTCCGAAACTTAACATAGGCCTCTTCCTTTAAAGCTCCATATTCTTTTATGAAGCATTCTATAATTGAAGCTACATGTCCTCTTTGTTGCTGAACCTACATGAGTTAGATATCAATATCTTTATTAGAACATACCTTTAAATATTCTTCAATCCTATTCTAAATGTCATAGCTTACCTTTAAACCAAATTGAATCCAATCTATAAGTTGTAATGTATCTTAGCCGTGTGACGTGTCTATTTATTACTCCAATCTTGTATCGGGACGGCCTCTTAAACAAGAATTCATACTAGTTACTCCCTTAGTCTCATTTTATTTGATGCATAATTTTGATCGGACATGAAATTTAAGAAAGAAAGAAAACTTTGAAAACTTGTGATAAAAAATAACTCAAATATTTGTGTGGCTATAAATCATGTCAGTAAGGGTAAAATAAAAAATTTAATTCAAATATTTTTAAATATTGAACGGTATCACTCTTTTTAGGACAAACTAAAAAGAGAAGTGCATCACATTAATTGAGATGGAAGGAGTATTATTTTTAAGGAAATATATTCGTAATTGGGAAAACTGACAGGGGGATGGGGTGAAAATGCTAATTTATTGTACTTACTTCATGATCACTAATATCGTCCATTAATCTGCATATGGTTGATGAAGCTCGAACAATTGAAGGCTCACTTGTGATCCATTCAAAAATGTTTTTTGTTATAAGTTCCTCCATACCAATTAAGGAAAGTGTTCCAAGCGCCATAAAGGTATTGCTTACAATTGCATTTTTTATATACTCCTCACATGTTGGAATGTAGCCAGCATTTAACCATTGGGCCTCTTTAAAATAGGCTCTCGCCAGCTTTTTCACCTAAAACGAAATACAAAAAGTAATAGTAGTATATACGGTCAAAATAGATATATATTTTCCTACGTTTGATCGAGTTCGAATGGCAAGAAACCGGAGTAGANTTTCATGAAGCATTCTATAATTGAAGCTACATGTCCTCTTTGTTGCTGAACTTACATGAGATAGATATCAATATCTTTATTAGAACATACTTTTAAATATTCTTCAATCTTATTCTAAATGTCATAGCTTACCTTAAAACCAAATTGAATCCAATCTAAAAGTTGTAATGTATCTTAGCCGTGTGACGTGTCTATTTATTACTCCAATCTTGTATCGGGACTACCTCTTAAACAAGAATTCATACTAGCTACTCCCTTCGTCTTATTTTATTTGATGCATAATTTTGATCGGACATTAAGTTTAAAAAAGAAAGTAAACTTTGAAAACTTGTGGTAAAGAATAACTCATAGATATTTGTGTAGGTATAAATTATGCAGGTAAGGGTAAAATAAAAATTTTAAAATTAAAGTATTTTTAAAAATTGAACGGTATCACTCTTTTTAGGACAGACTAAAAAGAGAAGTGCATCACATAAATTGAGATGAAAGGAGTATTATTTTTAAGGAAATATATTCGTAATTGGAAAAACTGACAGGGGGGATGGGATGAAAATGCTAATTTATTGTACTTTCTTCATGATCACTAATATCGTCCATTAATCTGCATATATGGTTGATGAAGCTCGAACAATTGAAGGCTCACTTGTGATCCATTCAAAAATGTTTTTTGTTATAAGTTCCTCCATACCAATTAAGGAAAGTGTTCCAAGCGCCATAAAGGTATTGCTTACAATTGCATTTTTTATATACTCCTCACATGTTGGAATGTAGCCAGCATTTAACCATTGGGCCTCTTTAAAATAGGCTCTCGCCAGCTTTTTCACCTAAAACGAAATACAAAAAGTAATAGTAGTATATACGGTCAAAATAGATATATATTTTCCTACGTTTGATCGAGTTCGAATGGCAAGAAACCGGAGTAGAGTTTGGAGTTAGTTTCGAAGGTAGTACTAACGAGCCTCGAGCCCGAAAGCTGTTCGAGGAGTTGGCTCGATAATTTTATCGAGCCCGTGACCAAATCAATCCGCAGGACGTCGCTTCGAGGTCGGAAACGCACCACGCCCATCCCGAAGGTCGAACTCGAGGTAAGACCGAAGGGCCGACCCAGTAACGAACTCGAAACAGTATCGAGTTCGAGCCAGTATCGAACCCACAGACAAGAGTCGTTACAACCGCACCAAGTGAGAGAATCTTGACGAGAACCGAGGAAGAAACAAATAATCGTGTGTCCTCCACTATATGCATTATTTTATTATTTTGTTATAGATAAAGCAATGACCCTCTATTATAAAAGAAGGGATCCTTATAAGTTATAGACACACGATATAGACTGGAATAAACAGATCTTTTTTCTCATATACAAAGACATTTTCTTGTGTTTGTTTTACTTTATCTTATTCAATTTTCATGTTCATCATTCATATCCTCTTGATCAAAATACTTGTATTGTTATCTTTGTATCAAAGGATATTACGTATTTTTAGAACCATACATAAATTTAACGTTATCTAATTTTTCGAATAAACATGTGTGTATATATATATATATATAGTGCAGTTCAGATCATTTTGCATGCGCTCCAAAAAAAAGAGAGGCGCTGTCTTTTTTTTTAACGTGCAGCGAAAAGGAGAGAAGGCTCCAATTTAATGGAACTTAGAGCATGTTAAATAATAATGATGTTAAAAAACTAGTACTACAGTAGTACATATTTGAAGAACGTTACATGGCTAAGTGGGTCCCTTGCTATATTGTTCTTTTATTATATTAACACGAGGACCTTTCCGTTTTCTAGCTTTCCACTTTATAGGTCTCTCTGAGCATTTCCAACAAACTGTTTTCAGATCAGAATATTAATAAAGAACTGTTTATATTAGTATTAGTTTAATGTATAATAACCATGTGCTTTATGTTAGTATTTGTTTAATGCATAATAACCATGTGCTTTATGTTAGTATTTGTTTAATGCATAATAACCATGTGCTTTATGTTAGTATTTGTTTAATGTATAATAACTATGTATCTGTTAGTATAATAACCATGTGTTAGTAATTGTTTATTATGTGCGATGGACAATTATAATCAATAGCCATGTGCTTTTATACATTAATATTATTTAGTAATTATAATAGAATATTGAATAGCTGGTAGGATGCAGATTCAATTATAGATGTTTAACGGATGGGCTGGGTTGAGAAAAAAAGTGACCGATCCGTTTCCCATTCCGGCCGGTTATCGATTTTTTCAAATCGGGCTTAACAGATCCGGGTCTATGCGGGTAAAAAATGAACCAGAAGGGTTACAGGTCCAAGGGGGTGGGGCGGGTCGGGTTAGTGTTATTTTTTTAATTTTTTTTTTATATTTTGTATAACTATCGTAATTTATGTTAACATAAAGTAAAAATATAAAACAAAAAAACAATCTTCTTATAAAAAGAGTGTTTGAATAAAAGGATGCAAAGGCTTTAAAATCTTTATATTTGAAAATTTGAATATTTTATTAAAAATATAAGATAATAGAATTCAATGAAGATGGAAAAAATTGCACTTATAGTTTGCAAGTGCTTTTTTATTTCAAACTTACAAATTGAAGTTTACATTTAACAAGTAAATTAACGAAAAAAGAGTAAATCCAAAGGTTTTGCATTGCCTTAGTTAGTTCTTCATAATCAATATGAACTTGTTGGCCATCTTCTTAAGTAAGGGTGGCAAGTGGGTCGGTCCCGGGCCTAAACGGGCCAAGTGGGCCAGTCCAAACGGTCTCGGTCCCGGGCCGGTCCCAAATAAAACGGGCTAAACGGTCCCGGGCTAAGTGGTCTTTTTGTAGGGACCGGCCCAGGACCGTTTGGTCCCAGGCTAAACGGGATAAGTGGGCCCAACGAATTTTTTTAAAAAAAAGAGATTAAATAGATATTAGAGACAAAAGGATGTTAAAAAAAAATATCTAAGGCAATGCTTTGTAAATTTTATTATAGAATTGTGACCTAAATTTTATTTAACATCCTAAATTTTAATATTCAATATTTAATTA